ACTAAATTGTTACTACTTTCAAAATTACAACTATTTCAATAATAAATATCATATATTCATGAATTAATTTATTAATAGTTATATAATGTGTATGATTTTGATAGTGTTTTCAGTAATAGGGACGATGCTGGACCGCAGAGTACCTCCAGAAACACGAGCGATCCCTTTCCCACAACCCCCGGCCCTTCACGTGCTCCGACTGTAAGGTCGACTTCAGACGGCGCGACCACTTAGCCAAACACCTGCGCTCCCGAAAGCATATGCTTACGAGGGTCAGGGTCTGGGAAACGTTTTACAAAGTAGTGTAGAGACATTTGAATCTAGGTCTAGACAGTAGTGACTATAGTAGAAAGTTTTTATTAAGTTTTGCAATTAATTACTAAACATTTAATTAAGTGTTTGTTTTATATAAATACTGTACAAGTTATTAGACAAATTTAATTCAATATTTACGTCAAAAAATTAAATTCACCAAAAAATTGAACACTAAAAGCGGGTTTATTTTTGAAGCAAAAGATTTAATTAATGTTATAAAATATTTTATTAATGTACTAAATTGTTACTACTTTCAAAATTACAACTATTTCAATAATAAATATCATATATTCATGAATTAATTTATTAATAGTTATATAATGTGTATGATTTTGATAGTGTTTTCAGTAATAGGGACGATGACCAAACAATCTACGATAACCATGGTCGTGTATCAACTATCAATTATTATGTGTACAGTATAATAATAAATAAATGATATATAAATTATATCTAATGTTTTACTGTTTTAAAAATATCTTACATATTCGATATCCTCGTCAGATAAATCGTCTGAATAATCATCAGGATCATTACTAGTAGTATACTGGTGTATAACTCGGTGATACCCTGGATCGCGGTGCCACTAATGAGATACATATATATTTGAATGACTTTAAAATTGAAAGTTTAAATGCAATCTATAAATGAGTGACAATAGTATGTCTCACGTCATTGACATCCCAGTCGTATAGAGACGAATAGTCCGGTCCATCGGAATCATAGCAATACATGCTTTCCATCCCTATTATCACCAATATATTGGCAAATAATATACTTTTCACTAACATTTCTGTTGATAATCATTAATAATAATAATTTCATCATTTATTTTAATTTTCTGACATTTTCTGACATTTATGAAACAGATTTTTAATACTGTAGATACTAGCAAAAACATTTTAATTGTAATTTTGTTTAGTTAAAATATTGTGCAAATGTTTTTTATTGGTACAGTAATAGAAATGGCAAACATTTTTGTTCATTCATTTCAATGGGCTATCAATTTGCGGAAATTATTGATGAATTTGTTCACAAAAGTGTCAAAAATGTGATATTTTCGCCATTCAATGGCCAAACCTATCACTAAAACACCACAACTTTTATAACGAGAATTCAATTGAATGCATGAAAACTTGTACTAAACTTATAGACATTATTCACACGAATTATGATTACAGTAATTATCACTTTATTTCAATACAAAACTAGTAGTTAACAAAACAGAGCTATATTTAACATTACAGTCTATTGAAATGACTTATGTTTTAAGATTTTGTTAACAAAACCGGAAAGTCGACAGAACTAGGGGTGTATAGAAATAGTGTAAGCACTGTATATACACATAATAAATACAGTATAATAAGTTTTTTTTATTAAATAAGAGTTAGTGTTGAACACTAATCCTACAAATAATTTTGTTCATTCATTTCAATGGCATTCAATTTGTGACAATTATCGGCGAGTTTAGCGACAAATGGTTGGAAATCTTCACTGTTGTTGGCACTCAGTCTAATTGATCGCAAATTCTTGAGTTTCGCCAACGAATCCATTGGGATATCGCTTACGGTATCCAACCATAGCTCCAGAGACTGAAGTCGTGGAAAATGTTGCGATATATTCACTAAAAACGAGCCATCGATCCAAATATTGCTATATTTCGGTATTATCTCTAAATGTGTCAATCGTTTCAGTCGATTAAGATTTATGTCACGAATGCAATCAATGGGTTCAATGGGAGGGTTCAAAAGCCCTTCAATAGATAAACGCTTTAATTGAGTAAAGTTTGCGTTAATTATTTGCGTCAATTCAACCAATTGATCAGGGTCATCGTTGAATATTCTCGTCGAAATGGATAATCGCTTTAAATGTTTCAAATTGTGTCCAATTTGTGGCAATCCATGCGATAATATATCGAGTTTTTCACAACAAATCTTCAAATCGATTAATGCCTGCATTCGTGATAAGCTAGTCATCAGTATATCAACGGACTGCCCGTCATAGCAACGGACATACATTTCAATTAATTGCAAACATTGGCTATAGTTTTGAACAAACATTTCAATGCTATTCACGTCACCACCACTGAAGTAAAAGCCAAATCTCTTTAATCGTGGAAATATAGCCACACTTTTATCTCCACTTAATGTATACGACAGACACGAATCCGAATAAAGACTTAATTTTGTTAAATAAGTGCAAAGTTTGAAGTTATTAATGATAGACATCTCGCTGTTAATCACTTTAATTGTTTTCAATTGTTTGGCAAACTTTGCGAAAAACTTGTCAATTGTTTGCACATTTAGATCCCTTTGATAACTTGAAAAACAAATGGCATTCAAATGATTGCAATGTTTGGTAATGCAGTCAATGATCGTGTCGTTCATCGATTCGGTGGTAAACCACGAGAACTCTATTCTTGTGATGTTTTCACACTTTCTTAGTATGGATTCAATTGAGTGTTCAGTTTTGGTATCAATTATGAGTTCCGTTTGTGTCTCGTATACCACTCTCTGCCACTGTTTAGACACACATTCACATCGGAACCGGTCTTCGAGTGATAGGAAAGACAATAAGTGTTGACACAAATCATCGCCCAATCGGTCTAAAGAGTCTTTCGGATAGACTTTCTGTGCATTCATTGTATGACTACTTCTTGCGGCCATTCCTCTCCTATTTGTATGACATCTAAAGGACAGCCTTCGAGACAACCACTCGACGAGTGATACCTTTTTACCACTCATTTGAGACAAAAAACTAAACAAAAAGTTAAATAAAATTAAAATATTTATTTTCATTCAAAATTAAAATCAATGCAAACCTCGGATACAGTCAATACTCGTCACACAAACATGTGTTTCAATACTTTCCGCACAATCGCTATAATCACTACAAATTGACTCAACTTTTACACAAAATACTCGTAATTATTATTAATGGCAAAACAATTGCGTGACAAATGAATCAATGAATGATGGTGGTGGGGGGTGGGGGTGGTCCAACCCGATCTTATAACCCACACTTTTACTTCGTAAATGCGGGTAAAAAGTCAAATTTGAAAATAGCCTATTTGAACAAAATATATATTATAATTTATATATCAGAAAATAATTTTTATTAAAAAGGGAATAAAAGGAATTCTCTTGTACAGATAAATGAAAGGATATGCAATAAATTGTTAAAATAAAAGGATGTTAAGAAAAAAGGAAATTTAATAATTTGTGTGAATTTAAAAAAAATATATTTTTAATTTCATTTCAGTTAAAAATAAAATGCAAATATGAATTTATTATTTATTTTAAGTGTTTTATATGCCATAAATATTGTAAATATATTATTCTGATTTGCCTTAATTGTATAATTATAATATATTTAATTTAGTTACATATAATTACATATATGTAATCCATGTTAATATAATTATTAAAACTATTTAATGCAATTATTCAACTTATTTGTTTTACATTTCTGACCATTATTGACCACTACTGACCACTATTCATAATTTTTACTTTTAAAGTCATACCAGTTTTTATGCTCAACAATTTTTTGTGTGAGATTTTTAAGTTTAAATTGCAACGTCGTTTTCAACTCTCAAAGCAATGCACTGCTTATAAGCAAACAGAGACACACTTTCCCGGAATCGGGTTGTAATGTGCGATAAAAACTTTTTGAATGAAAATTGTGTTAAAAATTAAAATAAACTACAAATGGGTGTGAATTGAGGTCCAATTTATTAGAACTAATCGATTAATAAGTTATTAAACATTTGACAAAATTGTGATTTGATATCAAATGAGAAAAATTGATTCAATAATTAAGGAATAAATTGAATGAAAAGCGAATGAAATACTTCTAATAAATACTTTAAAAGAATTGTACGAAAAAAGTTTTAATACATATTTAAATGAAAGTCATTTAACAGAATGTATATAATATAATGATATTAAAAATGTATTTCTAGCAAATCTATATTTTATATTGTTTCATAAATATTAACTATTAAACTAAAATCTATGATGGCCTATTGAATATTGAAACAAATATGAATATTTAATAAATTATATACATTATTGAATATCTAATGTATTATATTATAAAAGCACAAGAATTTAATTAACAAGAAAATATGCATTCATGCGATATATTGCAGTTGATGTAAAATATTTTAGTCATTCATTGAATTAGTCTATAAACTGTATATTTTTAATGTATTATGTAAGTTATTAGATAAGGGACAGGTAGAAGGTAATCATAGGTCTTCAAGGTTATCGTTAACTATTGGCAATTACTGTATTATAATACAGTATGCTTATATTGGTAGTAATAGCTTATATGTGAGAGCTAATTGTCATTGTTAAAGTGAATTTTTTGACTGTTATTTATATACTGTTTAACTTATTGAATACTAAATTAACATTAAGTACAGAATTTTTATTGTTTAATATTATATTATATCAATTTTTATAGACTGATATTAAATACTTTGTTAATGGATTCATTTACATAGAATAAACAACTAATATACTATAAAATAGTTAATTCTATATTAAATAAAATAATTCATAACTAAATATATCCAGGTTTAGACAATAGCGTTGACATCTACCACAGGTTTGCGTACAGAATAGAGACCCAAATGTGTCTTAAATTGAGTTATGTTTTCAATTCTTATTGATTCCTGAAATGAATCACAAAATTAGATTAGATTTAAGTAATGATTAGTCAATGACCACAAACTCACCGGCAGTTTTGGGGCCGGCATTAGATCCGCATTCACTTCATTCAAATGCTTTTTATTAATTGGGTTTTCACTGATTATACTGACCGTCAGTTTCTTACGAGTGGCTGAAGAGTGGGAGAGATGTCTCTGTTTTACACATCAATTCATTAATAATTTAATTCATAATTAAAATACAATTAAAAGTAATAATAATGACCTCAAAGAAGGCAATGATATCCTGTTTTGTCAACTCTTTGATGGCTTTCACTTCAATCTCATCCCTATTGAAGTCATACTCTTTGGACGATATCTCAGACCAAAGTCTCTGAGAATATTTTGAGAGTTTTTTCGGTTTCTCAAGTCTTTGTGTAATGACTGACTGTTTCTGTGTCTCAAAGTCCTTATCACTCATGTCTTCAATGTATTTGTGAACCCATTGTATAAAAGCCTCGATTCTTTCATTCAATTCATTGGGTTTATAATCGGATTCAATGGTGAAAATTATGCCTAAAAAGTGGATATCATTTAAATTCCTATAAATAATTAATACATTAGATATTAAGTCTACGGGCGTTCAATAAGTTTATATGAGTAAATAAGGGAGGTTAAAAAGTGCTAATACACAATAATACATAAATTCCTGTGTAATACTAGAGTATTTTGAAAATAATTTTTGTACGGCATTATTGAATGACCTCTTAAAGACAATACCGACCCCAAACACTATGATTTATCCGATTGGATGTCGACACGGCGTAACCTAACTGTAGTTTAGTCCTTAAATTGTCAAAAAAGGGTTCACTTAGTATTTGCTGCAATAGTCCTATCGTTGCGTTTATTATGGTATCCGAGACTCCGATTTGAAAGTAGAGTTGAATTGCATTTGTCTTATGGATGCCATTCGTGGCCTCAAAGTAATGGTCGGATCCGTCGGGCAATTGGACGACACGATTGCGGAAGTGTTGCGACAGTGGTATGGGTTTGGTATTNTGGCCTCAAAGTAATGGTCGGATCCGTCGGGCAATTGGACGACACGATTGCGGAAGTGTTGCGACAGTGGTATGGGTTTGGTATTGAGGGCTGACTTGAATCGCGACTCAAACACATCGCAAACATCTATGGCTTCACTCGAGTCGATGTTTCCGTGGATTAAGGCCTCGATATGGAAACGGGACAGCAGTTGGGCTACCAGTGCTGATACATCGCTGACTGTAATATCATTAGCTGTCTCTAATAGCTCCTCATTAGTCCACTTCCGGTCAACGATATTCAGATTCGTATAATAGTCGAGTAAATAAGGTATATTATATGCTTGGTAACTTTTAAGACTCCGGATATAAATGTCTTTAACCACATTAAACCTTTTTGGATCCACTTTAAAAGCAATCAATTTATCCAAAACAGTGGTCATTAATGAGTTTAATTTATCGTTATATCCGCCAAATGTTAGCTAATTGTAAATATATTATGCATTATATTTGCTGCAGTTATATAATACGAATAATGATAATTATACTGACATTAAGCCCAGTTTCAGTATAATCGAAGTTGTAGTATAACCCTGCTAACTCAGCTGAATATGAATATTCATTAATAGAGTCCGTAAATAATTGTGTGAATAAATAGCTGCCGTTCCAGTGCATAGGGTTATCGTATACGAGTGGACTAAATAGAGTACGAAATAGAGAATTTAAAAATAAACTTGCTCAAAATTATACGTATATTTGTATACCGTACTTGGTTAGTTTGAATTTATAGTAAGCCTTTGGAGTGCGGTATTGATTGTCCTGCAAATGCCAAACACGAGAAAACTCTGTGTTTCTAATCATTTGTGGCATTTGTTTCACGTTATCATTGATTGGCTTAAGAGTGAAATCATAAGGAATGAAGTCATTCTTCGGCGGAAGTGCTAACTTATCATTGAATCCAATATTTAGCCACTTCTTGATCTTTTTCTTAGGAATGTCTTGTTGTGTGTATTGAGTTGAGAACCACTTCTCTGTCTGGTCTGCAATTGTGGTGAACTGTTTGGACACAACTGTCACTCGCATGCGATCCGGAGTCAAGTGATTGAGTAAATCAGTCATCAAATCGGGTCTAAACTCATCCAACAAATATTCAGCACTTAGACACTCATCAAAAGGGAAGTCCTAATTAAGAATAGATTTTAAAACACAAATAAAACTGTGCATAATATAGTAAACACATGTAAATCGCGGGAAAGGCCGATCACATAACCCATGGGTGTCTCCTTTTCCTTAAATCTGAACTTAATTTCTTGCATTTGTTTCAATTCATCAAAAATCCATTGCTTCGGACCCTCTCTCTGAACAAAAATGCTTTGGTTAACAAAAGTCGCAGAATATTCTTGTATATAATAAACTGATTCATACTTTAAGTAAATTAATGTATTGGAAAACCAATGAAATGATATTATTGATGTTATCCATAGCCTGTTCAGTTAGATCGACATTAATCTCGGCGAATGCGAACCCCCGGTGCCCATGAGTCGATGCCCCAGCTGTTAGTGTCGTACACAAATTGCGGGCTTTTAGCTCCGATAGCAAACTACCCGGCCCTTCGTGTCCGATAAGTTCTTCAATCATTTCGTACGGTTTGGATCTGTTTAATAAATTAATTTTAATTTAATTGTTATTAATTGCAATAATTTAATTAACAGTTATACTTGTAATGGGCGGTCATATCGGGGATTGGGATCTTAATGGCAAGACTCCTATTGTCCTTAATTGGAACAATAAAGCATTGCTTTTGTAGGCATTCAGTGGTGAATGGATTAGTAGTCCATTTGGGAGCGATTGCACTGTTATTCTTGATTCCGGAGAACATAGGAATCACTAATTCTTGCAATTCTTGTATACATTCTGTGTATTCATAACAATAATAACTATTAGTATGTATTAAGTGGTCAACACTTATGAGTCAAACCTTTGCCCAAAACTGATTCCGGAGAACATAGGAATCACTAATTCTTGCAATTCTTGTATACATTCTGTGTATTCATAACAATAATAACTATTAGTATGTATTAAGTGGTCAACACTATACTCAGTTTGGAAACGGGTTTTGCTGATTTCTGTACTATAAACGACTTATGGTCGCGAGCACTTTGCTGTCGTTGAGGACCGCCTGTAGTTACGGAAACCGCATTCCTTAGAGAAAGTTGCTGAGGTTATTTCCTGAATTGAATGACAAAAATATTATTATTAATAGTAAAAATACAATACAATAATTAAACCAATTGAAAATTTGTTGTAATCATGGTTGGGATCGGACAGAGATTTCTCTAACTGATAATCTCTCCACTCATCATCCGGTATATCCCTCTCGTACTCCGAGTGGACGGCATTTAACTCCCTTTCCGTCGCACTCTCTGTGAAGAGCGGCTCAATGAAGAACTGCGCGAATCTGACCATACATTTGAAAATTTTATTTATGTTTTTATAATCAAAATCATATAAATTATGTGGACATACCTGTCGAGAGCACCGGCCAAGAAGTCCGTGGATATGTCGAAGTGATAGTTGGTATGAGTCTCAGCCGTATAGGCATTATATGAGCCGCCGTTACTTGCGATGTATTTGTCGTAATCGTTTTCTACGGGGTATTTACCGGTGCCTAAGAATAGCATGTGCTCTAAGAAGTGGGCCAACCCTTGCACATCCCGGGGGTCCGACATCGAGCCCACCGCCACGTCCAGTGCGGCCGCAGACTTATCTGCCTCCACATCACTGATTAGTAGGACCTTTAGGCCATTCCTGAGTACCAGTCCTTTGTATTCACGCTTATCTCCAACAGATTTAATGATGTTTTCATAGTTTTCTGCTATGAACTCAGAATTTAACTCATTTTCATTCAAAACAGTCATAATTTTTGTATTAAACAATATCGTTGACACCTTTTATTAATTTTTGAAAGGTGTTAAAATAGGTGAAAGGTGAAAGGAAAATTATTAATAAGTCAATTTGGTAATTAGTTGTTTACTAGAGGTTATATTTATTTTAAAATGAATAATAATTTTATTAAACCCTTTGAATACTGTTGCTAACAAACACTTATTTATATAATAAGTGCAAAACTACTTATCATGTGAAAACATATCAGTACAGTATTGCAATGGCAAATGATATTTTGATTGTAATTATTAGATTCATGACTTTTTTCTTATCGTAGTTGAGGGTTATCAAGCATATTTCTGCAATAAATTAATTTGTTTTTATTTATAAAGCAAAATACTTAATATTTATAAAAATGTTATCTCTTGGCTAAATAAACATTAAATAATGTATTATATAATATGTTTTTATTTTGTAATGATTTTATAAATTATAATTTTTGTACATTTTATTTTAAATAAATAAAATTTATGAAGACAACACACTTATTGTGTAATGTTTTCAGTTCAGTACAAAAGTTTGTTGATTAAAATATACATAAAAAATTATTTCTAAGAATTATAGACTATTTCAATTGTAGTATTGTATTATTTTTCTCATCTACAGCTAGTCTGAGAATAATTTATTATCAAGGGCAATCTATTTTACATATTGCTTGTTTAGTTTGCAACACATTTATGTGATTTATCGAGGCTATATACAATACAATATATACAATATATACATTGTAGTACTGTAGTACAATATATACATTTATAAATAGTTTCAATTGACTGCCTGCCCAACATGCCTTTCCATGGCCTGCGCTCTGAGATCTCATTGAGATCTCATTGGAGTTATCACTTGATGCTGGTGTCAGCTCCTCATCCCTTTCCCAAATGAAACCAATGTTTATGTTTAAGACATCAGACTTTACATACACTGACTGTTAATTTGTTTTACAAATTATGTTTTGTTTA